CTGTGCCCCCTCACACCTGTGCCCCCTCACACCTGTGCCCCTCCACACCTGTGCCCCCTCACACCTGTGCCCCTCCCTCCACACCTGTGCCCCCTCACACCTGTGCCCCTCCCTCCACACCTGTGCCCCTCTCTCCACACCTGTGCCCCCTCACACCTGTGCCCCTCCACACCTGTGCCTAGCCCCTCTCTGGCCTCTGATTTGGGCTCCCGTGCAGGGGTGTTCTACTCCCCTGGGTCTTTGATCTTGTTTCTCCTTGCCTTCCTGTGTCCCTCCCAGGGCTTCTGAGTGCCAGCATGGTGACATTTGGGCTCTATCTGGCTAAATCTGCGTGTTCGGGGTGGGGTGAGGAGCCAAGCTGTGTGCCGCAGATGCTGCCTCTCTCCGCTGGGCCAGAAGCAACACCCTGCTTCCATTGTAACAAGCAAAAATGTCCCCAGATCACTGCCAAAGAGCCCCTGGGCGACACCATCAGGCCCAGTGAAGAATCACCCCTGTTTCTCTGGTTCTCTCTACCTCCCTGTATCTCTCTGACTCCCCTCCCCTCCCACACACCAGCCCAGGTGCCTTCTCCCCTCCCCCCCAGGCCCTCACCTGTCACCAGCAGCTCCAGGGCATCGCTGGGCTGGGACCAGACGCCATGCTCCCAGCCCAGTCTCTGGTAGCAGCAGTGGTAACTGCCCCCCTGGGCCGGGGTCACCTTCTCCAGGAAGAACTCTGCCACCTCCTCAGATACATTCTGGTGCACTGTGGTAGCTCCGGGCTTGAAGAGCATGAACCTCCAGGCAGGCTGGGGTGCCTGGCACCTCAGGGTCACATTCACCCCTGGGGTCACAACTGCAGCTGGCTGAACCCCCAACCATGGCTTGGGGTAGGAACCTGGGAGGACTGAATAAAATGGGTGTTCTGGGTCCTCTGACTGCCTGGTGCCCCAGGAGATGGAGGGGAGGTAGGGATGGAAGGTACGTCACCTGGGCAACCATGCCCCTTTCTCACCCCCAGGGCGCAGCAGACCGCTCCGGTCCCCCGCTGTCCTCCTCAGCAGTGGATTTCAGTCCATCTGCCTGTTCTGCTCCCCACTCTGTCTCTGGTGAACACCCTGCACCTCTGGCCTGTACCTCAGTTCTTGTATGCATAAATAAATAAATAAATCTTTTTTGAAAATGAAAATTTTAGAAGGTCCCAGGTCATGATTTTGAACACTTCAACAGTTTAAGTTGTGTATGAGAAAAGAGTGAGAAATGAAGGTAAAAGACAAGTGACCGGACTGACAAGGGACAGATAAGTCACAAACATGAAGAGCGCAGAGGGAACCCTGACGTGAGCCAACCAGAAGACGACCAGTCGTTCAGAGGGTGGAGCCTCTTGGCCAAGCAGGTGGGCAGGGCGGGGGCGGCCCCACTCAGCAGCCATCATTTCAAATAACCGTGATACTCTAGTCAGTATTTTAAGCTGCTCAAATGCTCAGATCTTCTATTAATGTAGCTTACAAAATATAACACATATCTTAAAATATTAAATATCTTAATATCTTAAAATATTAAAACAACTGGAGACTATTTCGGCCTTCTAGTTTTTCAAAAACGACAGCCACTCTTAGTGCACATTTGGGGTCCAGACACAATGAAAGCGGGAACTGTGGTGCACGTGAGTGCACTTGCAGAAGGCAGTTTGTCCTCCTCTCTCAGGATCACAAAGCACATGACGCACGGCCTCATGATCCCCTGCTCCTCTCCACACGGATACACGTGGCTGTGAAAACTTACTCAGAGTCTCGGGTGCAGTGAGGGGCGCAGGCTAGCGGTTGGAAACCACCTAATGCCACAGACACGCCAGATGAACTAGAATCCAGCCAGACGCTGGCAATGAGAGGCAGCAGTTTTTTAAAAAAGAAAGACAGGGAGCTCTCTGACATGGAGCATCGCCAAGAGAGACTGCGGACTGAAAAACGCGAGCGGTAAAACAGTGAACCAGAAAATCAGAGGTGCAACTGGGTATTTGAATGCACAGAAATTCTCAGTGAGGATTCAGAGTTAATTTAAGGAAGGTGAGGAAGGGGAAGAGAAAGTCTGTGTGTCATCCTCTGACGGTTACGGAATTTTTTTAAAAGTCTTTTTTTAAAAGACCTACAGAACTGGGGTACAGGCCAAAGGTGCAGGGGCGTCTCCCCACCAGAGACAGAGTGGGGAGCAGAACAGGCAGAT